TTTCCCTAGTACTGACCACAGTATTGACAGACCTTTCCATTATTTTTCTTACTAGAGCCAATCCTTAGTAAAATACACTTAGAACCCACAGCAGAGAGTTAGGAGTATTGCTTCTGGGTAACATAGTGGATTGTTCCTCCTGGCATTACAAAAGGAATATAAAAAGCACTCTAAACACCATACTAAGTATGAGGAACAGGAGAAAAGCTCCAGCTCCAGCTCCAGCTCCAGCTGTTTGTTGGAGATGGATGGAGAAAGAATGGGAAAAGAGAGAGGTAATAGGCAGAAAGAGATTGAAGAAGGGGTAGGAATGAGGTAAATAGGCCCAGGGTTTTCTAATATACTTTGGATGCAGAAATGTTTTTGGGGCATTTGTAATCATACGGTGCAGAATAAGAGGTTTTGAGAGGCAGTGTGGTCTGTGGTTGTGGTGTTTCAGTGGAGGACATATATAATTTATAGCAAATGACAGAGAAACTCATAAAAAACAACAAGAATCCCATTCCTTGTAATTCAAGTCATCTCCCTTTTTTTATATCTTCTTTTCATACATTTATTCTTCTCTCCTCCATCGTCTTATCCTGTTATGGCTTAGTTTTAATTCCTGTTCTTGCTTCGTAGTTCTTACTCTTGCAAAAAACTTTCATTTCCTACATCATCCCCTTTTGGGTTCCATAAGACAGTGATAGACACCTGGTTGCTGCCAGTTTTCCAGGAGCTAAGCCTTTTGAGTTCTAGCATTTTCTGGGTTCCAAATAAACACTCATCTATTACACACTTATCTATTACATAAAGGATCTTTAGTACCATTGTCAAAATGAAGTAATGAAGTAGCCCTAGGCATGAAGGATTACATCTTAGTTTCATAGTAGTTAGGGTCAGGAGGGACTGGAACAGATCATCTAGCCTGACCCCCTGCCACAGGCGGGAATGAATGCTGGGTTCACAAGACCCCAGACAGGTGATCATCCAACCTCCTCTTGAATTTGCCCAAAGTAGGGGTGAGGATCACTTCCCTGGGAAGCAGGTTCCAGATTTTGGCCACCCTAACTGTAAAATATTGCCTTGTGATCTCTAACCTAAACCTGTTCTCCATCAGCTTATTACCATTGTTCCTTGTCACCCCAGGTGGTGCTGGGGAGAAAAGGGCTCTACCTATTTGCTGCTGATCTCCCCTGATGAGTTTGTAGGCAGCCACCAGGTCCCCCCTCAGCCTCTTCTTGCTGAGGCTGAACAGGTTGAGGTCCCTCAGTCTCTCCTCATAGGGCCTGTCCTGCTTTCCTCTCACCAAGTGGGTGGCCCTCCTCTGAACCCTCTCCAGGCTGGCCACATCCCTTTTGAAGTGTGGTGCCCAGTACTGGATGCAGTACTCCAACTGTGGCCTGACCAAAGTCTCATAGAGGGGGAGTATCACCTCTCTGGACCGGCTTGAGATGCAGCTTTGGATGCATGACAAGGTATGGCTGGCCTTGCCGCCTGCGGTCTGGCATTGGTGGCTCCTGTTCATCTTGGAGTCAATAATGACTCCAAGATCCCTTTCCGCCTCTGTGATTTCAAGAAGGAAACTCCCCAGCCTGTATGTATGCTGTGGATTCCTTCTCCCAAGGTGCAGCACCCTGCATTTATCTACATTGAATCCCATCCTATTCCTGTCCTGTCTGCCCACTTTTGTAGTCTGTCTAAATCTATTTGCAGCCTCTCTCTCCCTTCAAGTGTGTCCACCTCACTCCACATCGTAGTGTCATCAGCAAACTTGGACAGTGTGCTTTCCACCCCCTTGTCCAAGTTGCTGATGAAGATGTTAAACAGTGTGGGCCCGAGGAATGAATCCTGGGGTACCCCACTGCTCACATCTCGCCAGGTTGAGCACAAACCGTCCACCACTGCTTTCTGGGTGTGCCCCATCATCCAATTTTTTACCCATCCAATTGTGTAGGCATCAGTGCCACAGTCTGATCATAGTTATAATTATACACATTTTAGTAACTACTTTAACCCCCAAGATGTAGTTCAGGAAAAAGAGCAAGAGTAATGATGCCATTAGAAGGTTGTCTATTGTACCATTATTTTAAGGGCAAAGAAGAGTATTTCTTTATTTTATATTTTTCTTAGAGTCTCAAAAATCTTAACAGATACCACCTCCAGTTTTCTGGCTTTCTTTAGGTGTTATTGTAGGAGCCTGTCTTTATCTCCTTACATCTTAAAATGTCATTGGTTGAACCAGGTCCATGATGAAGGCTTTGCCTGTAGGGCATTGTCACTCCCTGTGAGCCTTCAATTTAATGTTCTCCGTTAATAGAGATTCTTTCCTTCTCTATAAATAATTCCTCTATAAAGGTTTTGAGCAATTGGAGACAGGTGATTGATTCAGCTGATGGTCCTTTTATGAAGTTTTGAAGCTTGAAGCTTTTGTAGAAGCAGTGTACTCTGATACCCTGATTCTGTTGTCTGCACACCATCATAACTCTTGTGGATGACAGAGAGGAATCGTGTTTTATAGTTTGCACTGGGAATGCCTGAGTTCTGATCATGCTCCTGATCCACTTGCATAGGCTTGAGCTTCTTACCTATAAAAAGGGGACTACCATGCTTGTCTTTAAGAGCTGTTGTTTGTTAGTTAATGTGGAAGTTTGAAAACAAGAAGCATTATATAAATGCTGAATGCTATCAGTCAATAAAATAATGTTTATATAAGGATGATCTTGTTACTGAGAACATCCAGCAAGAGTTGTTTCCCTGAGAGGTATTCACTACCTGTCTAGGGTACTTTTGAAGCCTCATTTCCATAGTATTGGAACACCTGATAACGTTTAATATAATTGTTTTTATAACATCCTGTGAGGTAAGGAAGTACTGCTTATCTCTGCTTTGCAGATGGGGGAACTGAGACCTGGAGATACTAAGTGATTTGCCCATGGTCAGATAGGAAATCTGTACCAGAGCAGATAACAGTACCCAAGTCTCTTGAGTCACAGTCTTATAGCCTAATCACTAGACATCTCTGTACCAGCACAGCATTCATTGACTTTGAACCCTATTTCACTTTAGACTGCAATTGGATTTTTTATGATACCACATACAAGAGAGCTGATATAAAAAAAAAACATTACAGAACATTGCCATGAAGTTCATGAAAGTGAAAGGTAAAGAAATGGCAATACATTCAGCGTAGAAGAGAGTTAGTCCCAATGCTGCAGTGAGTTCCATGCAGAAGCAGCATCTACTCAGGTAGATCAAATTGCAGGATCTTTGCCTTGGTTTATACAAAACAGCTCTTTTCCAACATAGATTTAAAGCTATGTCTATCCATTTATCTTGTGCAGGTTCAAATAGATATCCAGACACTTGATGAGACTGATCCAAAACAAATTATCAGAAATAGTTTATAAAGGATGTTCTATAACTAATGCCATCATGTAATTAGTAAGTGGTATAAAAAGAAATCTTTGTAGGCAAATATTCCTTTATGGACAACCAACCCAATCAACAAAAATGTAAACAATAGGATTTTTTTCTGACAAATGTATCAAATACTTGTTGAATCTAGTAATAAAACAAATTCCCTAATAACCAATTACAGTGACAATCACACCATGCTTCTTTATTGTTTGAACTGATTGTTCTTTGTGTCGTTCCCACTCCTCGTCCTCTTTGTCTGTTTCTGGATAAACTGGTAGCTTGTCTTTTGGACACTCCTCATAATAACTCCGAATGTATTTTCCAACAGACCACCCTTTGTATTCCTCAGGCATTTTGCATTCCAGACCATTGTAATGAACACTGTAGTGATGCTTTAACCAGTAGAAAAGGTAATGAATGTTGTAATCACATCTCCAAGGGTTCTCTCGAAGCCACAGTAATTTCAAAAAATACAGATCTTCTAATACTCCATATTCAAAATTTTGCAGGCTGTTGTTTGATAAATCTAGCTCCTCTAAATTAACGAGCCCTGAAAAGGCAGCTGATCAAGAGAAAAACAGTTATTGAAATTCATACATTAGTTAGAAAAGTAAGTTTATCTGAAACAGGGAAAAAATCCCACATTTATATAAAAATAAACAGTATTTTTGTATATTGTCTTTAAGTCTACAATAAAGGTTTCTTTTGAACCTTAAAGAATGGATATACTGCAAATTTTATAAAAGTTACAATCAATCTGGTCCCTATGGGCGCTGACAGATGGACAGCTCCCCACTGTAACTCATGATACTTCACAGAAGGCACCATGAGTTACAGCACCCCGTGCTCCCAACCCAACAGATGTTGCTGTTAGGTGGAGGGTGAGGGGGTGGAGTGAGTTCTACATTGAAGCCACTCCAGGGGAGAGAGGTGGCCTGTCTGTCTCTCGCCTAGCCCTGCCCCCCTCCCAGCTCCAGTACTGTCTTCAGGATGGAAGGGAGGGTTGGGTGCTCTGTCTGGAGTTTGCCCAGCTTGTGCTGGAGGATGGGGTGGGCAGAGCCCTCCTCTTGGGGTGGGGTGGGTGCAGGCTGGGCAAACCTCAGACAGTGCTCCCTCCCCTTCTTTCCCCTATTCCACCCTGAAGACATCACGGGGGCAGGGCTGGGCTGATGCCCGCTCCCAGACGTAGACAAACAGAAGTTAATGAAGGCTTTGCTTCAGAGCACCTTCATTTGAACCCTCATGAAATAAGGGTTAATTTGTCCCATGATCGGACACTTTTAAAGTGCTCTGCAGCCATGCCCTTCTGTCATGGCACAACTGTAGAGTGCTTTCAGGGTGCTAATTATGTGGCAAACAACTTCTGTTTGCACCCTATGTGTATTCAGAATAACTCTTAATTTGCTGACAAATACATGTTTTCACTGCTTTTTACTTCTGTTAGCACTTCAGAGACAACATTGCAGGACCATTGAACTGGAATCTGGTTCCTTTCTGTGAGTCACCAACAGAATTTTTATCAAGTTCTTTTAATCACCTATATCTATTCCAAATCCATTGCTGCATTATGCTGTGCAGGTAAAACTAGTTTGTATGCAGATTTTGAAGTGGTATAACTATTTTAAGCAAGGGAATTTTTTTGACTGAAATAACTATGGTGGTACAACCTCTCTAACTGTGGATACATTTATATCAATATACAGGTGTCTTCTACCAGTATAAAATATTTCTATACCTACAGGATGAAAAATTACTGGTTTAAGGTGTTTTAATTGCATCTACCCTTAGGGGCATGTACCTCTTGTTAAAGCTATACATGTTTTCTATGAAGGCAAAGTCAAGGGTCTTCTCACATGTAATAACTCATTGTGCTGGCCTAATTAAGGCACACCAGTTTCTGCCAGTAGTTCACAAAGGAGTAGTGTGACTAGGATCATGTCTGGCTGTGTATGTCTGCTGACACATGTATATTTGGAACAGTTTTAAAGGGGGAGCTGCTGATCAGGTGTGCAGAAACTTGCATTCTAACAGCTATATCTGGCCAAGCTGTGAAGAAAACAAAAAGAGCAAAGCAGCTCCATGCTGCTTCATCCAAGGTTTTTCTACATTTCTATGGTTCATAGCTTGTCCACACATAATTGTTAAAACATAATAGCTGCTCTGTGGGACACACCAATGAAATGGCTCCAAATGCATGTGTATTCATACACTTTGACTTCCCAGCCCACATGACTAAGTACCTATTTATAGCTGAGTTAACTGTGGGCTGATTTGGCTTGAGCTCAAAACAGGGCTTGCAGAGCCACAGTGAAACATCTTAATTTCTCTGATACCATCCCCTATGCAGACAATACTCGAGTATAATTTGAAAATATCAAAACTGAATTGTGTTGGTGAATGCCTGATTTGACCTACAGAATCTTTACTACTGATGTTGCTGGTGAGAAGGAGAGAATATTTGACTGTTCTCAGGCTAAATAGGCAGGACTGGTAGGGTTTTTTTTTACTTGTATTTTTTACTTGTGAAATGAATACATTTGATTCAGTGGCAGTAAATCAGTGGCAGACAAAGCATGCATCTTTACAAATCCACTGCAGTGTGTCTCACAGAGTAAGTCATATTTTAAATAAACCCACCCTGCAGCCTTTGCATGGTATAGGCTTTCATGTAAGGAATCTAGCAATAAATTATTTAAAACCTCTTAAGTAGTATTTTATTTAGGTTACTATTGTCCTATCTTCTTTAGGTTTCAGAATGCTATGGAAGGAAGCAGTGGGGTTTGTTTGTTTTTTTTAATCTTTGTTCTTTCAGTCGTTCTCTTTCATATGTCTGATTGCTTTCCCTGTTTAAAACCTGTTCTGAAGAAATGTCCTACAATGTATTAAATGCAGGTCAGATCTGCACCTTTATAGACTATCTAAAATACATAGATCACAAACTTTCATGAGCCCAAGTTCACTTTATGAGATTCTGATGAATATTTTGTGCAGCCGTTTTTAGCTCTAGTAAAGAAAACTATATCTCAGAACTAAAAATACCTTTTTAATCCTCTCAGTCTATAATGATAGTAATGGTACTAATTAAATAGTATTAATTAAAAGCAGTTAGCATCATAAGCTAACGTTAGTCAGGTTTGTGATATAGTGTTTAGAAAGGTAATTTATGTAGTATCTTGACTGTTTAGTCTTATATCTGAATCTTGTACTGTTTTAAATGTGAAACAAAGTATGCCAAAGTCCTTGCTTACTACATTGACTTAAGTGAACAAGACACGTCAGCCTCGAATTTGGCTTGCTGAATTCAATTAAACAGATAGCAAAATTTGTTAGTTTTCTGATCGTCTTGATTTTTCATGTTTAGACTACGAGGGGTGAAGAGATTGCCAGAGCTAATAATCAGTAAAACAGATTACCATTGTTACAAATATGCAAATTATTCTTACCAGGATCTATATAAACTATTCCATTACCGCTGAGGTTTAGTATCTTCAATTCGCTAACATCTTCAAACTCCTTAGCTTGCAGTTGTTTGATTTTATTGTTCGACATATCGAGTTTAATAATATCTGGAGGTATGTTACCTGGAACTTTCTTTAACTCTTAAAAAAAAAATGAAAAAGACGTATGTTAAGTCATCTCTAGTTTATCTCTACTACTTGTACTGTCAGCAACTAACTGTGATAAAAGATAATTGGTGTACTGTGCATTTAGCAATAAGGAGAGCTGTGGTTCTTGGATTTTGAAAGTACTTGAACAATTTGGGGAAAACAGAAAACTACTTCCTATATCTTGTAAGTTTCTTTTTTTCCCCCTTCCTTTTCCTTATTGAACACTGGCCTATGTCTCTTGCCATCATTTCACATGTTAGTGTGAACAGTTTTCTTTGTGTAACTCCTTTTGACTGAAACAGATTTATTTCAAGCCAAGTGCAGGCATTGAATTTTTCTTTTTGCCATTCTCCTGGTAGAAATGATGTGTGTGCAAGAATTTGTTCAATTTCTTCTGAAGAAAACAAGCCTCTTCCAGGGAAGATCTTCCAAGCAACAATCTGGAAGAGATCTCCTTTGTGAGAGAGCTTCTCTTATAAGAACAAATGCTTGTATACTCCCCTCTGGTCTCAAGTTTGTACTCTCCCCTCTGGTTTTATGAGCCTTGTGGAGGAGAGTATAGGTATATAAGGAGAGAGTTTGAATAAAATCTGCTATATAAACAGAGGGTTTGACTGTGGAGAGCTTAGTCACTTCATTAAGGTGAAACCTATGGAACTAACTGTGTGAAAAAGTTTCATCAGTATGAGAGAGGATTCCATAATCAGACCCTACGATGCTACCTTGTACCTTTCTGTTTCACACTATAAAAAGTAAAGTGTCCAGAGTATTAAAACAAGTGAAAATATGATGATTATTACTATTAGAAGTAATGTTGAGTCATTTCAGCTGACCATTGGGATTGAGCAGGATTGCCCCCAAATCCTGCACACAGCCACCTCCTGCCCGAACTGTAGAATAGTGCTGGGGGCAGGTCTGAGTGCCAGTAGGATCTGAGGAACCTTATACCCTATTCCAAACATTGCATGTCCTGCTATACACCACTATTTTAATGTCTGCCAGGGGCCTCAGAGAGTAAAACTCAGAGTCCCTCTTTGTAAGTCCTCCTAGTCATATGACTTCTGTTTTCTGTGATCCTTGGGAGAGGTAATGATCTGACCTGTCTGAGGGAAATTTATTTTTTAGAATAAAATAATATGCTGGTCCTGTTAGTAGCCTAGGGAATGACATAGAATAGAGAACAATTTAGAGTTGATAATAGCATCCAGGCCTAGCTGAAAAATTTCTGGACCCTAGCCAGGTTAGTAGACAAGTAGACACCTGAAATGTGTTGGTATTGGGTATTAAGCAGGCACAGTTCTCTTGGGTACTGCTGGATAAGACATTCATCTGTTGATAAGCTACCCAAAAATGTGTCCTTTTAGTTGTCAGTAATTTGTTCATGCTGAAGACTGCAACAAGTTTTTTTTTTTTGCTGGGAAATTACCTATACTATATGCAATTTTAAAAAAATATAACATAGTCTGGAGTCATTATAATCTAGTAGGTCAGCAAATAGGAACCAATGTTCCATATTTAACGTGGAGAAGCCTGAGCCTTTTTGTGAAGCCACAGATAAAACTTTTACATTAAAGATTTTTTTTTTTAAGAAAATGCATAGGCTGTGCTAATGGGACCTTCCAAGGATCACAACCTTGACATGGTAGAGACTTGTGCTCCTGGTAGTCACCCATGGTGGCATGTTTGAGAGTGAGGTTTCTAGACTAACTATTCAAAAATAAATACAAAAGCCCTGAGTTGTAGAGCAGGCAGATGAAAAAAGAATACCTTACAGTGGCTGCAGAGGTGGATGAAGGCTGCAGCAGGATAGTAAGCTTCAGTTGTCTAGGTTTTCCTTATCTTTGGATAACAGTTTCCTTCCCACGATCACTGGAAACCTCTAGTTATGGACTTGCACAGAGGCAGTGATTGCATGATGGTTGTTTTGTACTTGGAATTGAGACAGTTGTGCAATTCAGCAGCTGCAGTCATGACTGAGCAAATCTATATAGGGTCTACTCTCTCAGTTCACCTTGCTGGAAAATCATGTCTAATGGGATCACTCTTATCAGCAGTCCGAATCAAGTAATGAAGTTTGCAGTCTGGCATGTCCACACTCTGATGGACAACCCTAACAGTGACTGATGGGAGCAAAAGACAGCACTCATGGACAGAGAACTTTGCATGATTTGATATTAATGTTGTTTCACTTAGAACAGACACACAGGACAGGAGCAGTCACAGGCATGGTGGTCGCTAAACCTATTTTTTTTGGAAAGGAAAAGGCAGACACATCCACAGCGTTGGTTTTGCTATCAAAACCAAGATTGTTACTCAGATGCTGGAGTGTCTATCTGGCATCAGGGAGTATCTCATCACCCTTTATCTTCCACTGACCAAGAGACAACATAAAACAGTCATCAGTGCATATGCCCTGACCTTGATGCAGATGAAGAAACAAAAGAAGAATTGGATTCTAAACTTGACCCAAGTCTTGTCATTTGTCTCTAAAGAAGATAGGATAATTCTTTGTAATTTTAGTACTAGAGCAGGCAGAGACTCTGAGTTATGGAAAAAAACACCTAGAAAGGTAGGGGTGGGAAAAGTCAAATTTAAATGGCATTGTTTTCCTGAACAATTATTCAGAACATGTCTCATCATTACAAATTCCTTACTGTATCAAAGCAATAAATGGAAGACAACATGAATACACCACTACTCAAAATACTGGCACCTGATTAACTGTGTCATAGTGTGTGCTGGGACTCTCATGATGTCTGTATCACTGGAGCTCTGAGCAGCGCAAACATGACTGCTGGGTGGATCATTGTTTGATACATGGTCATGTCCATTTGTATCATCCCAAAATGACATAAACAAAAGAAGCAATCAAGGAAGAGCTTCAATATCGAGTACTTAAAAGACCTTACTAAAAGTGGCCACCTCCAGCAATGTCTCAGCGAGAAACTCTCTGACCTCCCTGATGTCTATATATTGATCACTGGGAGAACCTCAAGAAAGGCATCCATGAGGTGTGCAAAGAATCTCTTTGCTTCTCTGCAAAGAAGAATCAGGACTGGTTCAGTGAGAATGATAGGGAAAATCAAGCTCTTATTGACAGAAAATGGAGAGCCTTGAAAGCTTGGCAGAATGACATCAACTCCAGAAGACGCTTATCACCACATTAAATTTGAGACCCAGAGGAAAATTTAAGAAAAAAGAGCAAGTGTTGGGAACACAAAGCAAAAGAGCTTCAAAAGTTTGGTGGCAGCCACAACGTGCATAGTTTCTTCAGCACTACAAGGAGTTGTCCCTTTGAGGTCCAAGGATGGAACAACACTGTTTAAAGACAACACCACCATCAACGCACAGTGGAAGGAGCTCTTTGCATGAGCTTCTGAACCAAGATTCTAATGCCAGAGGCAGTACTTTCAAAGCCATTCCACAACACCCCATTAAGGACTACCTTGAAGATCCACTGACTTATCAAGATTCCTTGAAAGCCATTAAGCAAATGAAAAACAACAAAACATGTGGTCCTGATGGAATACCAACTGAAATTTATAAGCAAGATGGAAGAAAGTTCTATCATCATCTTACATATCATTATTTTGAAAAACTATTAACGTAAATTCCCAATGTTTTGAGAGATGCCAGAATTGTTACCATATTAAAGAAAGGAGATTGATTGGATTGCAGCAATTCTCTTGGTATTGTATTCCTGTCCATAGCTGGGAAGATCTTTGCCCGCAATCTCCTCAACAGTTTCACTGTCTTTGCCAATGAGATTTTATGCAATGTGTTTTCAGACTACTCAGAGGCACAATAGAGATTATCTTTGTTGGGAGACAGCTGCAGAATAACTGCCTCAGGTAACACTGAGATGTTTATTGACCTAATGCTTTTATTCCAGTCAACAGAGAGGCCCTATGGAAGATCCTGATGAGATCTGGATGTCCGCCAAAATTTGTTTCCATTATCAAACTTCTTTGATGACATGACAGCACATGTTCTGAGCAATGGGTCAGAAACAGACTTCTTCGCTATCAGAACTGGAATCAAGCAAGGATGTCGTTTGATCCCAGCATTCTTTCCTGCCCATGGCAGGGGGTAGGACTTGATGATCTGCTCAGGTCCCTTCTGACTCTACCAACTATGAAACTATCAACTATGTGTGGTTGTACCAATTCTCTTTTCTATCAGTATTGTATCTATTCTGCATCTCACTGCTGATAGACTTGAATCTGGAGTCAGCATCCAGTATTGCATGGATGGGAAACTCTTTAACATCAACTGATCACATTCCAAATCCAAGATAACCAATACCTCCATTACTGATCTTCTGTATGCTAATGATTGTGTTGCGTGTACCCACTAGATTGAAGTGTGCTGCAAGTCATTCTTGATTGCTTCTGTGAAGCACATGAAGTGCTTGGACTCACTGTCAACTTCATAAAAACCAAGATACTTTATCAAACTACCACAAACCAACCAGCTGCTCTTCCATATATTGCAATTACAGGGCAATCCTTGCAAAATGTTAAGGATTTCCCCTGCCTGGATAGCCATCTTCCTCAAAAAGCAAACATAGACGGTGATATTCAACACTAAACAAAATCTGCCAGTGCTGCCATTGGATATCTCCAAAACCATGTCTTCAATAATCATATCAGGACCCAAACCAAACTTCTCATCTACCCAGCTGTTGTTATCCCATCCATGTTATATGGGTATGAAACATAGATGACATATTGGAATACCTGAAAGCTTTGAAACATTACCATCAGCAATGTCTTCAGAAAATCTTTTGTCAGTTGGACAGATAGAAGAATGAATGCCAGCATTCTGGCTTAAGCAAGCACCCACCAGCATTGAAGCCATGTTTACGTGGCACCAGCTCTGTTGGACAGGGCATATCATAAAGATGCCTGACAACCAGCTACTGAAACAAGTCTTGTACTCCCAAATCACTGATGGTCACTGCTTTAGAGGTAAACAAAAGAAGAGATTCACCTTGAAAGCCAATCTGAAGAAATACAACATTGACATCAATACCTGCAAGACTCAATTGTCCTCAGTGGTGCCAGAATGTGCATCAGTTGTTTTGAGCAATTTTGCCTCACGATGGAAGC